TGTGCTTACAATGTTGCAATCCTGCTGGCTGAAGTCCAGCGGTATTTGTTACATAGTTGCTTAGAGTTGCAGGCTCAGAGGCCTGCAGCGGCAGGGGGGGAACGTTGGAGTCCTCCGTCACTGAAGCAAGCAAGCCCCATGTTAGTTTCAAGTTGCCTGGCTGCCGGCCGCCATCTTGGCTGACAGTTAATTTGCATATCTCGCTGATTAGCCAATGAAAAGAGTAGCGGTCATACGCCAATTACCATGTTTCTCTTTTATTAGTATAGATATGACCTGATTATTCCTTCCACCATTATCCAACACACTTAATATTCATTCCCACACATGTTCCCTGGATTTCTGTTTGTATTAAGTTTTTGTTCTGTTCAGACCTTCAATGGATCAGATCATGTTCATCCAAATAGGAGAGAGGCAATTTTCTTTACTCAATCTATAGATTCAAATGTTAATCTTATTTAGAACCACCTTCACAAACATACTCAGAATAATATTTAATCAAATGTGTGGACACCCCATGACCCAGTCAAGTTGACACATAAAATTAATCACCACACCATTTAGCTTGGGTTGTTCCCACCTTTTGGCTATTGTGAATAATGCTTTTATGAACATAATGTACAAACATTTGTTTGAGTGTCTGTTTTCAAGTCTTTTGGGTATCAAATGGTATTTTTATCCAGTTATTGCATATGCTTAGTTGAAGCTTAGAATTCTAGTTGCTGAATCATTTTAATCACCAGAGACATGTTTTAGAAAACAACAAAAAAAGTTGTGTCACATCTGATGCATGCTTAGGTTATATGGGTTTACTTGTACTGTATTTTATAGGTGATTGAAGAGATTTTCAATGTAAATGTTTTATTATGCTTGAATTTTACCTAATTCTGTGGAATTAGTCTCTCTGTGTAAAATACAACTATACAGTATTGGTTTCTTTTTACAAAGCAGAAAAATAGTCTCTGAGAATTGCTTTCCAGATTAATTCAATTCAAATCAGAATTCATCATTTGATGCTTTCCAACACTGCTTTGGTTGTATGAAGAGTAGTCTGTGTTCAGGAATGCTGCTATGAAGACTACCCTGTTCTTTCAGGGTAAACCCAGTAGAGGCCCACAGCCTCTGAGATCTATCATGATAGCATCTGGAAGACTTCACCTTTGTGTTTCCTCAATGTTAATGAAATAAAAAGTATATTTGCTTCTCTTGTGGACAGAGAAGTTTGAGGAATGCCTATTTATTTAGTTGTTCATTTTATCATTCAAAGGAACATTTTGAGCAAAGTAAAAATATATTTCTATATTTATAACTATATTTATCTTTTTAAGGCAATGAAGAGAGGGGAAGAATATTTTAGAGTTGATATGGCACATAGAATAAATGGTGATTTTGAAAGAGCAATAAGTTAGGTATTGGGAAATACATTTATTTTACTAAGCCCACTTTTCTTTCTTTTCTTTTCTCTTCTTTCTCTTCTTTCTTTCTTTCTTTCTTTCTTTCTTTCTTTCTTTCTTTCTTTCTTTCCTTCTTTCTTTTCTTTCCTCCCTACCTCCCTTCCTTCCTTCCTTCCTTCCTTCCTTCCTTCCTTCCTTCCTTCCTCCCTTCCAACTTTCCTCTCCTCCTTCCTTCCTTCCTTCCTTCCTTCCTTCCTTCCTTCCTTCCCTTCCTTTTCAGAACTAAAGAACGAATGCTCAAGGTTTCATCCTGGTCAGGGCATGTGCCACAGATGGATGTTTCTCTCTCATACTGATGTCTCTCTCTCTCTCTCTCTCTTTCTATCAATCAATCAATCAATCAATCAATCAAAGGCTAAAATGCTAAGTGTCCGACCGTCTGACCGGTCACTATGATGTGCACTGACCACCAGGGAGCAGTTGCTCAACACAGGAGCTGCCAAGCTGCAGTGACTTGGCAGTGGCAGTTCTCGGGTGATACACCCCAAAACCAGAGAGGAGGGGGCCCGATTCTTCGCCGGGCCGGGCCGTGCGATTCCACCTTTTCCACCCTCGGCCGTGGATTATGTTGTTGCTGGGGCACTGTCAGCCCCGAATTTGGTTTACTGAACACTTGTATTTGCCTTCCACACCCTGTACAATAACAACTTTGCAGAGTGCCCTCTCACACTGTGGGGCCCCTTGGGGGATGCCGGAAAGCCAGTTTTGGCCTAATCCCCGCAGGACAGGCTAAGGGACCCCCACCTGCTGGAGGGACCCCACTCACTCTGCAGATACCGGGGAGGGACCATGGGAGGTTGGCTCCAGGGCATGTCTGGCCCATCTTGCCCAGTACCATTCTGCTGGCAACCTTCTAATTAATTTCCTTTCAATGTGCATGAATCTGTGTACCGGGTCACTAGTTAAGGTATAATTTTGGACAAGCCATTTTACTTGTGTGAGCTGAAAGACAGTGAAGATAATACGCACTACTATTTTATAGGATTGTTATGATCAACTGAGGTGAAGTAGTGAAATCTTTAAAATTATATATAGATGTTAGGTGTCATTTTAGGTTCTAACCTGATAGAGAACATGGCTATTAGACATAATACGTTTGCTTATATATTGACTGGGTTCTGTGTGCCTGCTTAAAAGGTTTCTGCGTTTTGCACTGTGGAAATGACTGTAAAGAGAAAGAATATGATTTTGTCCCAAAACCTCAACTCATTGGAAGGAGAAAAGTGAGAATTTTGTAGCTACTCCAAGCCAATTTTTGACATTAAAAACTGTTCCATTTTACTCAGCTTTGTACAGATTACATGGTTTTCACAACTTTACTACTGAATCAGTAATTTGTCAGCATATTTCAGCTTGGTATGCATATAATGTAATATTTCAATTTTATTAGAGAGTTTGCAAATTATTTTTGTTTGCATGTTGAAGATGGTATATTTTTGAGTAAATTGAGGTTTATTTGATATAGCAGTTTGAAGAGTACCAAACACTGATTCTTTTTGCAAGTTTTTTTGTTGGCTTACCTTTATGTCTTACAGAGAGACTAGAGAATTGAGGTAGACAATTTTTTTTCTCTCTGACATATTTTGATGAGCCATACAGATGGGTTTGTTATATCCCTGTGAGAACAGAAATAAAGTGTTACTTCTGAGATACTTCTTTTATAGAAAAAGGAACTGGTTTGCTTTACTACGTATCCAAGGAACTTTTTCTCATCAGAACTAGAGTTAGAATGAAAAATCTCAAAACTTAAACTTAAAAAAAAACCCCCACAACTTTCTGGAACTGAATAAATTTGAAGTTTATCTTTTTATTTTTCTGAGTTTCAATATGACTCTATGATTACTTATAGTGAGTGAGCAATTTGCCTCATCCCATAACATGAGCCAAAAAAAATTGCATTAAATGCTTGCTGACACACTGATTCTAGGGCTGGGGAGGGAAAACACAAGATAAGCCTAGAGCATCTTGTAGTAGCAAAAAGTAAGGAAATGCTCAAAAAAACTAAAAAGATGGAATCATGTACATGAAAGGAATATGAGAGCCAGCAGAAAGAGCATGAGTGGCCAACACTGTAACAATTTGAGCAACAAAGTAAATGATGTAGTATTGAATTATAACTCAAAGTATATAATAAATATCAAATAAATGATTAAATAAATATGTAAATAGATGAAGAAAGACAAAGTTCCGTACAAAAGAATTACAAATAATGTTTGCACATGTTCTTTACTCCAGGAGATAGAGCATAATTCCTCCTCTTCGGTTTTGAGAGTGGGCTAGACTTAGTCACTTACAAGAATAGACTGTAAAAATGGAAAAACAGTGGCTTCATCGTGAAGAAGACTGGTAAACACTACGTTAATCAGCTGATGAAGATTTACACCTCAGTGATATGATGAGAAGGGCAGTTTATCTCTGTGACATTCTTTCCAAAAACTTGTAACCCTAGTTTAGTTACAAGATAATACAGACAAATTTAAATCCAGGGTCATTCTACAAAATACTCGATCTGTACTCCTTAAAACAGTCAATACCACAGAAAAGAAGCAAAGACTAAAAACAGTCACAGACCAGAGGAGATAGGGGAGACATGATGACTACATGTAGTGTAGTATACTGGCTGGAGTCCTGGAATAGCAGATGGACAATATGGAAAAATGATGAATAATAATAACTGGGCTTAGTTGATAGTAATGTACCAACATTGGTTTATTCGTTTTGATAAATGTGCTGTTGTTATGTAGGATGTTAATGATGGGGAAAACTGTGCGAAGGGTATATGTATACTATCTGTATGATCTTTAAACTTCTCTGTAAATCTAAGATGATTCCAAAATAAAATGTTTATAAAAAACACCTTCCTGGCAAATTTCTTGATCATATCAAATCAAATAATGTGAAGAATAAAAACTGCTTTGTGTTTACCAATTTTTCAGTTACCATTTTTTAAAATACTGTAATTTTCTCCTAAAATTAAATAATAAGCTGTATTGCCACTATTTGGATTTATAAATTTTCTTATCTATACCAGTAGTTTAATTTATATTTAAAATTTAGTGACCTTTTAGAAGTCATTAATATCTGAAAGTTTGAAAACAGTAAAAGGAGATTAATAAAGTACAGATTAATAGCTGTGTATTTTGAAGTGAAGAAGTTAATTTACTATCGTGGTGCTTAGGATGTGATTTGTGATTCTTTTGAGGATTATAATTTTCAAAGTGCTTAGGTTATGTTGATATTTACTTCATTATAATATAGCACTTTGGGAACTAAAAAACTTAATGGTATTGTCAGTTATGGCAACATCTAAAAGTAATAAAATAGAACAAATGAATACTTAAAAGAACTTAAAAGATAATATTTATTAACTATGAAAATGGATATAAGTAAATTTATTGTCATTTTTTTTTCTAGATTTATTGTCTAGGATAGATTTGGATGAACTAATGAAAAAAGATGAACCACCTCTTGATTTTCCTGATACCCTGGAAGGATTTGAATATGCTTTTAATGAAAGTAAGTGGTGTATGCTACATAAAATATTTATTTAACAATGCTGATAGAATTACAGGACAGATGTTATTTGCTACTTTTATGTGCCAGCATAAATGTTTTATGTATTTCTTTTCAGCAATACTTTCATGGCAAAATTCTTCACTTAATTAAAAGAACCAAGTCATGATTTACCATAAATTGTGAAGTCACTTAAACCAATGGACATGAATTAGATTCAGCTTATATATTTCATCTGTGAGCATTCAACTTCCTAGTATCCAATTGGAATTCCCAATTATCCTATCTAATAAAAGAGTAATATTGCAAATTAACCATCACTCTGTCACTCCGTCACTTCGTCACAAAGATGGTGACGGCCACGGAGCTGGAGCGAGCAGGAGGCTTGGGTTGCCCCTGGCGATGGAGGAAGCCAAGCTTCTTGCCTGCCCTGGCCGGCCCTGAGCTCTGCTCAAGGCTACAAAGTTTCAATTATAGAAGATAAATAAATCCCAGATACCTGCTTAAAAAAAAATAAAAAAAGGACAGGCTGGGAGCTTGGGTTGCCGGGGGGCTTGACCAGCCTGAAAACAGCCATCAGCCCCTCACCCAGGCTGGCCAGCCACCCCAGTGGGGACCCCCCACCCTGAAGGGGGTGTGGCCAGCCTGAAAATGGCCCTCAGCCCCTCACCCAGGCTGGCCAGGCCGGGCGGATGGCTGCCAGTACAGCGGGGTGGTGGGAGCCTCTCCTGCCTCCTCAGCAGCGCTAAAGATGTCCGACTGCAGCTTAGGTCTGCTCCCCGCTGGTGAGTGGACATCCCCCGAGGGCTCCCGGGCTGTCAGAGGGATGTCTAACTTCCAGCTTAGGCACGATCCCTCGGGAATCGGGCCTAACCCAGCAGGTGGACATCCCCCGAGAGGTCCCAGACTGCGAGAGGGCACAGGCCAGGCTGAGGGGCCCCCTCAAGTGCATAAATTTTTGTGCACCAGGCCTCTAGTATTATATAAACATATGCTACTGTTTCACATATTATTTAAAATGAAGTGACTGGCAATGATTATCTGTGATGATATTTTAAAGCATACTACTCAATTTTCTATGACTTTTTTCAGGCAACATTCTTATTTCAGAGTTTATTAGTTAAATTCTAAATTAAGTAAACTTTGCACTTGGAACTTAGAGGAACACACCATAGATTGCAAGAATGTTTTTGAACAAAAACTTATGATTCATTGGATTAATAACACAGTTTTTACTTGAACGGTAATGTTATTACAGATTAGGTAGCATTTGAGGTGAGGATTTGAAAACAGGAAACTCAGTCTCAATATTAAATCCCTAAAAGGATAAGTCCAACTTAGTATCTTTGGGGACTTCTTTTTTAGGTTTATAAGGACAAAAACTCTTATGAAAGCCTCAAAATGAAACTTTAATTACCTGACTGGAGAAGCTGCTAAATTTTTCTAAAGGATTTTAAAGTTCTTAATTGGGTAAAAGTAAAATTTGGAAACAAAGCTCACTCTAAGCAAAAAGGGAGATATTCTTTTTTCTGAGTCAAACTGATACTTGTTCTTTCAAATCACTGTGCCTGTTTAAATGCTCCTTGGGTTTAAGATGGCTTCTTAGCCATTCTCTGTTTGTAATTATATAAGGCCCAGCTGAAATGTCTTTGCTTTGGAAGATGAAGAAGGTGAAGTTTTTCCCCTTTTTACCCTCACCCACACTCCCTAGGCCCTAGTGCGGTATTATGAGGAACACACTTTTGTATTACTAAAAAGTAATTGTACTTGTTTGTAGACTGTTCAAGTTTGAATCTTGTCTTTCATTATATCTGACTAGAGGCCTGGTGCATGAAATTCGTGCACTGGAGTGGGGGGGGGGATGTCCCTCCGCCCAGCCTGCACCCTCTCAAATCTGGGACCCCCTCGGGGGGTGGCCGACCGCCCGTTTAGGCCTGATCCCCCCAGGCCTAAAACCGTATGTACTCGGACATCCCTTGAGGGGTCTCAGATTGGAGAGGGTGCAGGCTGCGCTGAGAGACCACCCCCCTGCACAAATTTCATGCACTGAACCTCTAGTTTCAATATAATATAGCAAGTGTTGGGATAGAGGTACTCTCAGGGCAGTATGAAAGCCCGGTTGAAGGCTTTACAGGTGCCTGGACCATTCAGGATAATT